CTCAGTCAGTAAAAATCTTAGGGAGTACAACATTCTGATCCCATTTTGCATGAGGTCACCATTGTTCAATGCTGACTCCGCAACTAACAACACAAGTCTACAGATGTTACTGTAGTTGTTAAGTGCCATGAGTCAGTTCCAACCCATAGCAACCCTATACAGGGTTTCTAAGGAATGACTGGTGAGCCTGAACCACTGACCTTACAGTTCAAATGGCTTTTGACTGGCACATTAACCCACAGTGCCACACCAGGACTCCTATCAGATAAAGTGTTGGAAACCTTGGGTCATAGATAAAGAGAAACTTTTATGAGGGAATGCAAAGAACCAAAGTTGTTTTCTGATAGACTGAAGATCCAGAAGAAGAAAAAAATGTGGTGGACATAAAATAATACTGCAGTGATTTACTTAGAGGAAAATAGATACTTCATTGTTGTTGTTAAGTGCCATGGAAGTCAGTAGTGACTCACAGCAACACTGAAAAGATTTCAGAGGAGCAGCTGGTGAGTTTGAACCATTACGCTCGCAGTTGAGATCTTTCATAGTGGGTGTCTTTTCAGATGGTGGTATTTTTTTATTTAAAATCTTGGAGCAGGACTCTGCTATAACATTGACGGCCTATGCACAAGCCTGCTAGTGCTAGTAAAGATGAGTAAGGTTTGGGTAGCTGGAGATTAGATTTTTCACTTTTGTTTGAGTGAATGCTTGGCCCCAACAGAGCCAGAAGTCATCTCTGTTCATTTGGGCTTTCATTCAATAACTATTTAACATCACAATAAATCACCGGTCTCTTTAGAATCAGATCCCTGGTGACCAAAGTATTCAATTACAGTACCTGATAAAATCATGAATATCCTGATAGTTACTTAATGTACATCCTCTGCAACAGTGAGCCCTTTTAAAAAATTGGATCCATTGGGAAAAGAGAGTCTCTTTATTCCTTAGTGTATATATGGGTATATTTAGACAATGGCAAAAGCTATGTGCTTAGGACCTACAAGAAAAAGTATCCTCTTCCTTTCTTTTCTACTCTTTTTTGCCTTGTTTTAATAGAATTTCAAGTATAATTGAATGTACCTCCTGGGAGTGAAAGCTACATTCGATTTGGCCTAATCATATGGAGAATAGCTGAGTCTAGAGTAGAGCAGTATATGATTTCTGCTTCTTTCTTTCTTTTTTAAAAGGGGCCAGGAGTAGGAGAGATTTTGCAAAGTAACCTTATAGTCCATAGTCTGTTTGAGACCTTAGATCTGGCAAGGACTTCAGACTCATACTGAAGGAATTTCTTCTTCCATATTCTCCCTTAACACTGGATCAGGAAACTTCGTTCAGATATTCTAGAGAGTCCACTAGGCTGGAAACTCTTCTGGTCTAGGAGGACAAGGACTATACAGGGTCTGTGTTTTCCACTGTGTCACCAATGTGTGGCCCTGGCTGTTAGTGCCTTGCTCTGTTGTCTAATAACTATTTACTGGAAAGTGTCACTTGCCATTTATTCAGATCTTGTTCACGAGCTGAGAGTCATAACCAAATTGGCTGCCTTCAACTTGATTCCTTCTCTTGGCAACTCCGTGTATGTCAGAGTAGAACTGTGCTCCATAGAATTTTCAACGGTTGCTTTTTCAGAAGTACATCACCAGGCCTTTGTCCAAGGTGCCTCTCTCTGGGTGGATTCAGAGCTCCAGCCTTTCTGATAGTAGCTGAGTGTGCTAAAAATGGAACTCCTGAAGTTTTAAATGACCAACATTAAATCCCATTTCTGCCTTTTGCTGTGAAATTTTAGGTGATTTCTTAACCCCTTTGAGTTTCTATTTTTAGTTATGAAACAAGCAGGAAAAATACTTAATGAAAAACTTTCTTGGTGTGTTCTAAGATCTATTTTTAGAGTTGTGTAAAGGATACAGAAGGAGCTCCAGTAGCCTAGTGGTTACAAATCAGGCTGCTAACCTCTGGGTCAGCAGTTTGAAACTACCAGCTGTTCTGTAGGAGAAAGAGGAGGCTTTCTGCTCCCATAAAGATTTACAGCCTCGGAAACACAGTACAGGGTCGCTATGGGTCGGAACTGACTCCATGGCACATAACAACAACAGCAACAAAGGATACAGAATCTGACACATAGTAGGTACTTTATATGATTTAATCCCATTGAGTCTAATTCTAAACTTTGGCTCATTGATTCTGAATTCATAATCCCAGTAGTGGTCTGTATGCTTGGTGCTCATAGCGACCCTGCATAGGGTTTCTGAGGCTGTAAATCTTAAGAGGAGCAGAAAGCTTTATCTTTCTCCTGTGTAACTGCTGGTAGTCTCGAACTGCTGACCTTAAGATTAGTAGCCTGATTTGTAACCACTATGCTACCAGAGCTCCTTAGTGGTCTGTCTAGTACAGAATAAAATAGAACTATTACTTCATATGCACAGGGCAGAGCAGCATATGATTTTCTTTTCTTTTTTTTTTTTTATTGGTAGTTTTGTTTTCCTTTGATTTTTTTTTTTTTACTTTTTTTTATTGTGGGGTGATACAAATGGTTAAGTGCTAGACTCCTAACTGAAAGATTTACTGTTCAGATCCACTACGAGGTGCCAACCACACATAACGTGAAATTTGCCATTTTTATGTGTACAATTCAGTGGCATTAATTATTTTTACATGTTGCACAATATGTCCATTATGTACTTTCAGAACTCTTTCAGCATCCCCAACATAAACTCTGTGCCCATTAAACAATAACTCCCTATTGCTTACCTCCTTAGCCCTTGGTAACCTTTAATTGACTTCCTGTCTCTCTGTATTTATATATGAGTTCTTTTTAAGGGAAATGGGTTATGATGTAGATAGCTGAACAGGAACCTTCCGAACTGTAGCATACCTGCTTTCTTAAAACTGTGCTTCTCTAATGGTTGGGAAGAGAGAGAGGGAGACAGAGAGATCATTTAAGGTGTGCGGTGGCATAGAGGGAGAAGGGAATCCCAGGCTCATGTCGACATGGATTAGCATCAACTAAGATTGTTAACACAAAACAACTGGCAGAAAAGTGAAACTCCAGTTAAACTGTTGTTTGGTCTGCATTAAAATAATCAGGCAGAATGATTTCCATTAGACTCACTGTTTCTATTTTTTTTAACCAAGTAAAGAAACAATCTAAATAATTACTTTTTTGTTTTTTGTTAGTGACTATCTGATGCATCTATTCATAATGCTTATTTTTAAAATACTCATGCATTAGTAAACTATTAGAAGGCCTAGGAGCTGCAGGGAGTCTTGATGTGGCGCCATAGGGATAAGCACTTGACCTCAAGGTCGGTTTGAACCACAAGATTGGCAGTTCAAACTCACCAGCCACTCCTTGGACACAAACAGCTTGCTATGCGTTAGAACCAACTGGATGGAGCTGCAGGGAAAATTTGTGTTTTGCTTTGTGTTTTTAAGAGATTGTCATTGTTGAGAGAAGGAAAACCTGTATTTTCTCTATCATCCTTTCTTATAGTACAAGTATGTGGTTATTTTGTGGGAGAAGCCTTCCCAAGTGTTCTATTTGCTGGAGTCTTCATGCTGGAAACCACATTGTTAATTATTAGATGACTTCTAGGATATTATGGTGTTATTCTTGAACAGCTATTAATAAGAATGAACAAATTCACCAGTGGAGGTTGACAAATTTCAAGGATATCACCTCAGCAGCATTTTCTAGGGAAAACAATAATGCTGTCTTTCCCTGTTAAAAAAAAATAATAAAATAAACAAAAAAAAAAAAATGATGAAATATTCTGAGGTGGTCTGACTTTTCTGTTTTGTGTTGTTGTTGTTAAGTGCTGTCGAGTTAATTCTGACTCATAGTCACTTTGTATAGGGTATCTAAGGAGATGCCGATAGGCTTGAACTGATGACTTTGTGGTTTGTAGTCCAATGCTGATCCTACAGCGCCACACCAGGAGTATGTTCTGTGGTGGTTATGTGCCGTGGAGTTGGTTCCAACTCATAGCAACCTGTACAGGGTTTCCGAGGCTCTAAATCTTTACGGGAGCAGAAAGTCTCAATGAAGCTCTTTATTTTAGGGAAACTAAAGGAGCTCTGGTAGCGTAGTGGTTACGAATCCGGCTGCAAACCTCAATGTTGGCAGTTCGAAACTACCAGCTGTTCCACAGGAGAAAGATGAGGCTTTCTGCTCCTCCTAAAGATTTACAGCCTCGGAAACCCTTTACAGGGTCGCTATGAGTCGGCACCAACTCCACGGCACATAACAACAACAACATAGCTTAAATCTACATGTTGTTATTTTTTTCACAGATCAAAGGGGCTTTAACCAAAGATTACATAGGTATTCTGCAAACTGCCTACTATTAGTAATATTTGTAATGGAAAATTTCTCTGTCTCTCTTACATTTAGTATAGTTTTAGTACCAAACACACTGAAAATATTGATAAATGGATAGGTAGGGCTAGGTGGCAGCAATCCATTATATTGAGCATTGTTTTTCACCCTTGCTGGAAAAGGAAAATGTGGGGGTGGGGTGGGCATGGGGTGGTCCTCGAGCATCATGAAAAGCTGTTGGTATTAAGGGCAGTGGCATATTTTCTACTTCGATACGTCTTGTTCTGTCATTTTGACTATAATTGGCTAAATTAAACAAAATTTTCCACACACCTTATGAAGTGATTTCATATCCAAGTTACTTCTATTTTAAGAGAGAAATGACTTATCTTAAGCAATTTAATAAGTATGTAAGATTTCAATAAATTTAATTGCTTTTAGTTTAAAGAATTTCTTTTAATGAGTAACTGGTCACAATGGATTGTTTTCTTAGGGAGAAAAAAAAGACTTCAGATGAATGTTTTTAAGAAATATTCGACTAAAATGTTTAATCTGATTTCTATTCAAATAGGAAAAGATTGTTTTAAAAAATATTTTATGCCATTATTTTTAATGCTGTATCTTCTTAACTGTGTCTTAATAAATAACTGCCAATTGGTTATATGACATATATTGTTTATTTTTGTAGTTAAAACAGAACCAATGAGCAGCAGTGAAATAGCTTCAACAACAGCAGACGGGTCTTTAGACAATTTCTCAGGTTCAGGTAAGGATAAAATACTAGATTTTGGCATTAATATTAAACATTTTTCTAGTTTATAAATATCCTACAATGTGTGTGTGTATATGTGTGTGTATATATATGTGTGTGTATATGTCTATATATATGTATGTATATATACACATACACACACACACACACACACACACACATCTCTATGTATAATAGAACAAGCCTATGTACAACAGAATGAAACATCGTTCAGTTCTGTGCCAGCCTCTCATCTTAGCTGTGTTTGAGCATCCTGTTGTTTGATACCCACTGTCAACAAATTGATTTCAACTCATAGCAACCTTGTATAAGAGTTTCCCAGACTGTTAATCTTTATGAAAGGAGATAGTCTCATCTCTCCCCTGCAGAGCCACTGGTGGGTTTGAACTGCTGACCTTGTGGTTAGCAGTTTAGTGCTTATCCTACAATGTTGTTAAGTGTTGTCAAATTGGTTCAGACTTATAGCAATCCTGTCTAGGGTTTCTGATGAGTGGCTGATGGATTTGAACTGCTGACCTTGCACTTGAAACTGACTTTGTGGTCCAGTGCATTATCCTACAGTGCCATACCAGAATTTCTGTCCTACAATAAGTATATATAATATGGTTTTGCTCAGAGCCACTTACTGCAAGTCTGTTGGTTCTATTCAGTGTGATGAAATGCTTGTGGAAAATGTTGGTATCCTATAATAAGAATTAAGTCAAAAGACTTCGTGTTTATTTCTTTACTATTTCTTCTATTAAATTATCTTTATTATGTTCACAATTCTTCCCATTTCCTCTTTGTTTGTAGAGATGTTTCCAACCCTAAGTAAATATTATGCTCAGCTACAGATCTACATTAATCTAAATATTCTGGACTCCTGGTGTGGAACTGTAGGATAAGTACTGGACTGCTAACTATAAGATTAGTAGTTCAAGCTCACCAGCTGCTCCTTGGAAACCCTATACAGAGTTGTTATGAATTGGAACTGACTCCATGGCACTTAACAACACCAACAATAACATTCTGTAAAGCAAAATAAAGTAAATCCTTAAGTTAGTTTTTAACTTCTCTTACATTAATAAAGTCTGCCTTAGACAAGCAGAATACTCATGTTTCACATCAGTGATAATAAAATGACCAAACGTAAAATAACATTGATAATAAAAGTGACTGTAAGGACATGATTATTGTTTTGTCCATCTTGGGCTATTTCCATTATAAACTATTTCTAGTAGAAATAATTCTTATTAACCATTTTCATTACTTGTATAAAACCTCTTAATTGGAAACACTTTTTACACTTTGATAACTTTGTGATTGATTTAATCTAGCCCTCATAGTAGTTTATTTCTTATATACCACAACTAAGAGTACTTATTGTTGTTGTTAAGTGTCATAGAGTTGGTTCTGGCTCATAGCAACCCTATATAGGGTTTCTGAGGAGTGGCTGGTGAGATTGAACTGCCAACTTTGCAGTTCAAACTGACCTTGCAGTCCAGAGCATTAATCCACAGCACCACACCAGGACTCGTAAGTAGGAATAAAATGTATTCAAATTCACAACTTTTATATTAATGATACTAGATCACAGGAGATTATAATACTGAATGGTGTTTGTTATATGCATTACTTCTTATATAAACATTTATTGAAATTTGACTTAAGTCAGGCAATATACTTGATACTATTAGGGATTCGTAGGTGTATGAGAATGATCCTGGTTTGGGGCTTAATGGTCTGAATATTGCATTTCAGTTTGATAAAGCCAGTGGGAAGCCCAGGGAACACCAAGAACAGTTAGAAAGCGATCCAGTGAGAGCAGGGGACAAGGAAAGTTTCCTGGAGGCAGTGGTTGGACTTGTCAGTAAATGAATAAGGATAAAGCATGTCTAGAACTAGGGAGAGGGATAATGGATAGATGGGGCACTCTGAGGAAGAAGACCAAAGCACAGAGGACTTGGAGTTTTGGAGGAACTGCTAATGGCTCAGTATTCCTGGTGCATATGGATGCTGTAAGCAGTGAGGGGTGGATTTAGAGGGAGGCGAGGCTAGAATCTAAAGAGATACGTGTGTCGTGCATGGAGTTTGAATTTTATTCTGAATGCAATAGGAAGGGGTTACATGATCTGGCTTACAAAATAGACACATTACTCTGGTGGCAGGATGGATTGGAGGGGGTATAAACTGAGATGTAGACACCAGTTAAGCATTGTTGTTGTTGTTGTTATGTGCCGTGGAGTTGGTTCCGACTCATAGCGACCCTATACAGGGTTTCCGAGGCTGTAAATCTTTACGGGAGCATTACGCCTCATCTTTCTCCCGTGGAACAGCTGGTAGTTTTGAACTGCTGACCCTGAGATTCGCAGCCCTATTCGTAACCACTACGCTACCAGAGCATTAATTTGGGCAAGAAATATTGACTACCTAAAGTAACGTGCTCTGGTAGCGTAGTGGCTACGAATCGGGCTGCGAACCTTAAGGTCAGCGGTTTGAAACTACCAGCTGCTCCGCGGGAGAAAGATGAGGCTTTCTACTCCCGTAAAGATTTACACCCTCGGAAACCCTGTACAGGGTCGCTATGGGTCGGAACCGACTCGACGGCACTTAACAACAACAAAAAGTAACGTGCTGGTGATGGTTATGGAAAGGTGATAGATTCAAAAGGCATTCATGAACTAGAATTGGTAGAAAAAGTTAAGAGAGAATCAACACAAGAGGAACATGATTTGAAAAAGAAAGATGGTGACCACAGTTTGGAGCATGTTGAAGGTGAGGTAACATTTGCCAGGAGATGTCAAGTGCTTCAAGGTTTGGAGCTCAGGAAAGATCTGGAATGGAAACTTTGAAAGTGTATTTGAAACTACCAGTTGTTCCACGGGAGAAAGATGAGGCTTTCTGCTCCCGTAAAGATTTACCATCTCAGAAACCCTGTACAAGGTCACTATGAGTCAGAACCGACTCCACGGCACATAACAACAACATAAGAAGTTAAACCTGAAGGTGGGCATGGGAGGTTTAATAGAGAAGAAGACAGAACACAGGGAAAACCAGTATTGAAGAGATCTGTACCAAGAATCAAATGAAAGCAGAAAGGACTGGGGGAGGAAGGAAGAGTACTGATCTGGAACTGAGGGTAGGATAGAATTTCATGAAAGGTACTGTCTGTATTGGAGTCCTGGTGTGGCACTGTAGGATAAGCACTGAACTGCTTACCACAGTGCTGGTGGTTCAAGGCCACCAGCTGCCCCTTGGGAAACCTATATAGGGTTACTATGAGTCAGAGCCGACTTGACAGAACTTAACAACAATAAAAACAACATTGCTATATTGCAGTTTACCATACAGTCATTCTAGCAGCTCTGATAGCATAGTGGTTACAAGTTGGGCTGCTAACCTCAAGGTCAGCAGTTCGAAACTACCAGCTGTTCCGTGGAAGAAAGATGAGGCTTTCTGCTCCTGTAAAGATTTACAGCCTTGGAAACCCTGTACAGGCTCATTATGAGTCAGTACTACCACCACCACCAAAGGATCACTTTGAGTCAGAACCACCATAACCACCACCACCACCATACAGACATTCAAACAAATTTTTTAAATGGTTTGAAACCAGTGTTTGCTAGGTGAAAAAAACACCCCAGTAGGTTATGAAAGAATAGTATGTTCAGTGTAATCATAGTTTATTGTAAAAGTGGGGAGAGGTCATTCATGTGTATATAACTATATGCGTGTGTTTGTATGTGTGTGAATAGTGTGGTGGCTCTCTGAATGGTGGAACATAATTTGAATTTTATTTCTTCGACTTTTTCAATATATATTTTTTGCAATACCTATGTATGTATGAGGGTAAGTAAAAGGTATTGCGACAGTTACAGAAACACTTACTCAACAAAAGCTTCAAAATCTGAGGCCAAGAAGGTGGTACTTAAAAGGTTTGTGGAACAAATCCATTTTCTCTTAGTTCCATTTCTCACAAACTTTTTGAAGCCTCCTTAGTAGTTTTTCTCTTCATAGCCTCCATCTAGGTTTATATTTTTCTCAAAGCTGTGGTTCTGTTTCTTTTAACCCTTCCTTGAAGAATTCTGCATTCTTTAATCTAAACCATATCAAAACAGCAGTTTGGACATCCTTAAGGGACTCAAGTTGTGTTGATTGTAAATGAACTTTGAGTTTGGGAACAAAAAGGAGTCTGGAGGGGCGAGAACAGGACGGTAAAGTTTCCTAATGAAATTCTTGTAGGACAAACCTCGCTACCCTTAAAGATGAGCAGGTTTGTTGTTAGGATTGGGAAAATAAAAGTTCTTCACACTGTTCTGGCCTTTGTCTCACTCGTGCGATTTCTCAATTTTTTTTTTTTAATCTCACTATCCTTTCTAAAAAGCCCCTGTGATTGTCCTGTGTCCTTCAAGAAAATCAATATCAAGATTAGTCCTTTTGAATACCAAAAAATAGTCCTCATAACCTTCTGAACTGACCTCTCTGTCTTCAATTTAACTTGGCCAGCAGATCTCTCAGAAGCCTCTGTTTTGATTGTACCTCTTTTGGAAGTCAGCCTAATGAGACTAAGAGAGTATATTACTGACAGAAGTTTTCTGTAGCCTTCCCCTGATCCCAGAGACTTATTTAAACACATTTCGTTTCAAATAAACTCGTGCATGTATGAAATGAAACCTTAGTAGCAATGCCCTCTTAGTAAAGTGAAGCTAAAAACCACATGCTACAGAGAGATGAGTAATGTATACCCATGAATAATAGTATTACACTATTGTCCTGAATCATGAAGGAATTCTTTGTTTTTAAGATTTTTATACTGATATAAATATATGTACCTGTACCATCCTGTTAAGGAGCTCTGGTAGCGTAGTGGTTACGAATCAGACTGCAAACCTTAAGGTCAGCGGTTCGAAACTATCAGCCGCTCCGCGGGAGAAAGATGAGGCTTTCTACTCCCGTAAAGATTTACACCCTCGGAAACCCT